TTTTTACACGGAACCAGGACACAGAGAGACAAACTTGGTCAGGATAGCAGGTAAGTGCTCCAATCTGACTACCTAACTAAAAGCAGATCCACATTTTGAGGTACTTTTTCCAGCGACTGTGACCCCTGTGTATGCAGTAGATTACAACCACCGAGTATAGCTCACTGCTGCAGCTTGTGCTTGGGATATTACAGGATACATCTCAGATGAAAAGTCTAACTCTAGAAGAAGTCAGCATGCAGCAACAACTGCTCCAGCTGTGCAGTGCTGGACTGTGTGGGAGATACCTGGTGCTCTTACCAGTTGTCGTAGAGGGTACAAAAGAAGCCCTGCATCCTTTCTAAGACAGTTTTGTAAACAGGAGAGTCGTAACGCTCCAGCAGAGGCTGAGGGAGACCTGTGGGAAAGAAAACACTTCAGCTACAGGAATGAGAGAGCACAGTGCACCTTCAGAATGCGATGGGCAGGCCCCAGCCAGTTTCACAGAAGCACTTGGCAAGGTCAACATGCAGCCAAATGGGGAAAGGTGCAGCACCTCCCCTCGGAGGTCAGCCAAGTTCAGGTCGATTGCAGAGCTGTTCCCACTAAGGTGGTCACATTCCCCCCATTTCTGCAATGCAAAACGTACTGGAGCTATCAGATCCCTGTTGGAAGCAAAGGTGACAGCTGTACAGCTCCCCTGACAGCCCATCCCCTCGGGTTTGCATTTCTCTCTGTCAGGACACAAGCTGCTGAACTATGATGTTCAAAAGTTCAGTGCAGAGATGAAGGCCCTGCTGCTTTCTGCGCCGTGGTTCACAGACAGCATTTACAGGTCACAAAAAACTGGTGAAGGAAGCACCTCCTCACTATACAGATAGGAAATGGAGATAAAGATGGAGCAACTTCCCCAAAATATTTCACTGTCAGAACCCAAAATTAACTCCCAATTTCCAGAGTCATGGTCCACACTTTATCCACAAGACCACCCACTTCTGCTTGGCTGGAAAGGCTTCTGCATTCCCAAGCTCAAACCCATTTTAAGACAGTTGTGAAAGCCTCTCTCAAATACACTGTCTGGAAACAAATGACAGGTCCATACTGCGGGACTTGGCTCTTGCCCTCCAGGGGAGGCCTCTGCACCAGCACTCAGGGTTCCCACTGAGCACTAATTCTGCTCAAAATCAGACAATTGCAGCACCCTCAGTCTCGCCAGCCTGAAATGCCATGTTGCAGAGACATGCAACATGCTGGGATAAGCAGTTTGGTAGGGAACCCTTCATTTCATGCAGAAGAAACCAATTTGAGACCAGTAACTTGAATATAACTTCTTCATTTCATAGAATCATAGAATGTCTGGGATGGAATGGACCTCCAAAGGTCATCTAGTCAAACCACCCTGCTACAAGCAGGGACATCCCCAACTAGATCAAGCTACTCAGCAGGTTGAAACCACAGCTGAACTGTGAATACTATGAAGTCAGCTCTCCAGCCTCAAGCATCTCTGAGAATCTGCCCACACGTTCCTTTCAAAGAGAAGCCCCTTACCTAGGATGGCATTCTTCTCCACCTCCAGCATGTCTAAGGCCTTTGCAAATGTTTCCCCCAGCCTAGCCACCATCTCTGGTGTGTAGAGATTGTTGTGAGTCCTGAAACAGAAGAGTACTTGGTTTATACTCATGTGGGTCAACCTCTTTTGCCCTTGACAGTGGGATCCTCTCCTTCAGCTTGTGAACAGCTCCTCTGAGGCAGACGATGAGGAAGGTGAGACCAAGCACGTATGCATGGGATCCCCCTTCCCCACCTGCAAAAATATTGGGGAAGCTGATCCGACAGAGACATGGAGTGACTCCACCTCATGTCCTGAACCTCCTGGCTGACCCTTCCGCTTACTTCGGTTCGCCCCACCCCTCGCAAGCACCGGCAGTCAAAACTCCCAGCAACTGTCCAGCTGACGCTGGCAACAGCTTGTTAGCTTGGCCAAAGGGATCAGAGAAGGTACTTTAGAAACGGACAAGACACAGTTTCTGTAAGCTCAGAAGATCTTCTGCACCTAAGGCCCCTGCGGAGGGAGGGGCTGTTTCAGCTCCAAAATGCACACACTGCCCCCAGGGATGGGTCACAGTCCCCAGAACAGCAGCTGGCATTGGAGGGACTCTAGGGAGAACATCAGTCTGACCAGATGTTCCTCATGGCAGAGGGGTGCCCCCCGGACAAGGCGTCCAGCCGGGAACCACGCCGCGCTCAGCTCTCCGCGAGGGACACCGGTTCAGCCACGGGGGGACGGTTCTTGCCACCCAGGCCAAAAAGGGCCCCCCTTAGCCAGGGTACTGACGCTCGGAGCTGGACTCGGCAGGGGGTGTCTCTCTCACCTACCTCTCTCCTTTGAGACCTCAGACCTCCACTCTGGGTGTCGCCAGCTGCACACAGCACAAATCCTGCAGCCTCCTCCAAAACTGCAATGCCATTGTACCTGCTGCTAGAGGTGATCAAGGGCAACTCAGTATCTCCCCCTAGAGCAGCGTTTCCCAAAGCAGGGGGGCACATGGGAATGGCTGGGGAAGGGAGCGTGGACAGACCTCGATATGTTCTCCAGAGTCTCAGCTTTCACTCACGTCCTAATCATTTTTTAAAAAATTTAATTTTTTTTAATTTTTTTTTATTTAAGGTCTATGTGCACAGTCCTGGCAACCTCGATGCAGTGACGTCTGCCTGAGTTTGCAGAGAGCTTGAGTTAGCTCTGAAACAGAAACTACCCCATTTCTCTCTGCAAGTGGTAAATACTTCCCTGCTCACTGCACGTGAGGAAGGCAAGTATGTAAGTTCCATAAGAAAGAGCTCCACAAGTGACTTCTTAACGACTCATACTCTCATTCTGGGCTGGATCTAACACCATGCAACAGGCCTCAAAGGGGCACAAGCTGGTTTTACTTTCCCAAGAGGAGCCAGGGAGCAGCCCGGGCTCCACAAAAGTTTGGATAGCGTTATTCCACTGACTCAAAAAATTGTGCACTTCTGCTTGAGGCTACCCTGAAACCTAGCTACTAAAATCATCTTCTCTTGTATGTCTCCTGCCCACTTCATGCCAACGCTGGCTTTGCCTCATGCTGGGCAGAATGGCACTAGGGCAAACCCAAAGCCTGTAGAACTGTGGTGGGAAACCTTAAAAACCCACCGCTCTAACCCCAGCAGGATGGGCCAGTCATATCCTGAAGCTGTGGTCATGGTCCTTAGTTGTTTCAGAATCCCTGAAGCATTTTCTCAAGTTTGACAGTTGGGAGGGTGGATGTTCACTCACAGGCCGATCTCCCTTAATCAATACTTCAGCAAGGTAAGGTGAAAAAGAAAACGGCTGATCAGCTGCCCCCCACGGGGGCTAAAAAGCTTCCAGCAGTCCTCATACATGATGAAAATGCAGCCCCTAGGCATGTTTCAGCTGAGACTCTCAGCAGCGAGCAGCATTCCTGGGCATCTCACACACAGAACAGGGAAAAACAAAATTCAGGAGAGGTTTATGCTTTAGAAAAGACAAGCAAAGGATATGGCAGGACTTGGGGGATTTTCAGCGGTAGTTACCGCAGAGTGATGCCTAGAGAGATGGGCTCGAAGGCCAGAAGATGGGTCTTTTAGGATGGTCCATGCTTGAAGAATTTTTATCCAAAGCTAGAGCCATCGACAATGAAAATGCCTATGGCATCCATGTCTGTTCAACAGTTCACAAGCATTAATGCCTTGGTAATGTCAGCTTCTCATTAAGATGAGTTCCAGAAAAGCCTTTGTCCATGCAGAGCATTAGCTAAGCCTGACCAGGCCATTTTTAACAAAGCACAAGCAAATCCCAGCACAATAAAGGTGCTGCACCAATCAGTTCACAGTTACTGGCTCCAGAAATATGCCTTTAGATAAAGATGGCTGGACTTGGGTTTAAATTCAGCAGAGAATAATTTAAGCCAGAAGCTAGAAAGCACCCAGATGAACTGAGGTACTGCAAAGGATAGGAGAATCATCACTCAAGAAGCTGCAAGCAGTGATTAACAAAGCAACCTCAAAATAATTTGGTAAACACAGCTACCAAGACAAACATGGGCAGGCACAAAAAGATGCCACTCAAAAGTACCTGATTTGTCCTTGTTACCTCTACTCCTTCTCATTCCTCTCAGCTCTTCGTTCTCATCCACAACCTACCTCTAAGCTACCTACACCCTGGCAAAGGCCCAGTCACCTCAAAACTTCCACTGCTTCTGTCTGTGAACACTAACATGGCAGAGGAATGCCACGCAACACCCAGAGAGCAGCAGGCCCAACTGCTCAGCCTAAAAAACACCTTTTTTTTTTTTTGCATACCTGTGCCTGACTTGGTGCTCAAATCAGCTGCTCACTAGGATCTGTGCTGCTGCTACTTGAAGATCTGCTCACACAGGAACCAGCACCATCTGTGACAACTTCCACATCTGCTCCCCGCATAAGCACACGAGCGACACCGGACCAGAGAGCTGCCCAGTGGCACAGAGCTAAGAGGAGCATCCATCCCCAAGCAGTAATGCAACTATGTTCCTGAACGCATCCTCACCACAGGCAGCTCTCCTGCCAGCCAGCCTTCCTCATCTCCCTGCACTTCCCTCCTGCTGACAGGCTACTACAGATTCCATATCCTCTTGTGTAACCCATATTAAAGAGAGCCTGAAGAAGCAGTACATGGAAAAGGCACACATGAGAAGCTCCATAGCACAAGTTCCAACCTCAGAAAGATGTAAGCATCAACATTTGCACTCAACAACTACAAGCTTGCAGCTGTCAAACAAAGAGGCAGCTACAACCAGCAGCAGCCCAGAAAGGTGTGAGGCAGAGGATCTACTGCTCTCAACCCATTATTCATCGGTTCTTGCTGGAGCACCCAGCTGGACACCACTGAGTGAAGCACAGGCTGCTCCATGTACATTACTACCACGTGCTTAGGACAGATTTGGGTCTGCAGGGGAGATGCTTGAACACCACAGATGCATTATCTCAAAAACCAGCCGAAGAAGCTCTTCCTTTATGGAGATAGGAAAGCAGGGGCAACAGAACACAGCTCATGCATTTTCCTAAGGTGGCAAAAGAGCAGACACAAAATATCTGCTTCTTCACAGGCAGTGGTATAATTTGACAAGTTTCTTAAGCTTGTTGTAATAATGATCCCAAGTGTTTTTAACAATGTGTAAGTTCTGGCAAGTGCAGTGATTGTGCAAGCAAAGTCTGGCTGTTGCAGCCTGTTTGAACATTGGGCACTGCTTCAGTTGGTCTCCCACAATAGGGAGAATGCTCTGGGCTCTGGAGGAAATGGCACGAGTCTACCTCTACTCAGACAAGTCTGCTCTACCCAACCTCTCCCAAATGCTCATCTTCAGTCTTTCAGGATTCAAGACATAACCAGCTCAAGCTCAACTCTGCAGCCATAACAAGATGGCTCAGTGGCCAAAGCCCCACCTGCTGAGCCACATACAGCCTGGTGACGAGACGCACAGCTAGGCTGGGTGACGACAGCATGTGCTTGTCCTACCAGTCCAGCATGTTGCTTCACACTGGAAGCAGCACAGTCCTGAGCTCAGGGACTGCCAAACATACCTGACTAGACAGTGCTCAAGGAATAGGGCCCTTTTCCTCACAAACCTGGAAGCTGAAAAATCTAAGTGGATGTGAAAACGCTCTTTCCCAGCAGGCTCCTGCCAAGGACAGAGCCTCAAGTTTTCAAGTAGATAACACGAAGTTATCTCACAAAGCTGCCCCCTAAGCCTGGCAAAACCCCAGTGTCAGCAGTTAACCCGAGACAGATGCCTCCTTTCTAACCCTGGAACTGCGCTATTCAGGATCCCCCTTCCGCCTTCCCTCGCTCCCTCCTCCGGCTGCCCCGGGCGTACGCGACAGCAGCGACGTACAGCGAGGCACTGCAAGGCAGCGACAGCCTGAGAGTATGCATCCACTCATTTCAATAGCAGACAGTGCTTCAGGAGGCTGGCCTTCGTGTTCAGCAAAACCAGCTTAATTTAACACCGAAGAGAGAGCAACGCGAACGGGATGCGATGAGAGCTGGGACTGCCCTGGTGGTGACTGGAGAGGTGGCCTTGTAGGGCCTGAGGGCAGAGCAGAGATGTTAGTCGAGAAACGATTAACTGGGTGGCATATTTACAGCACTGGAGGTGGGGCAGGCAATCCCAGCCCAAGCTCCCATTGGCTTTGATGAATTCTTGTAGGCCAGGCCAATGAACATTCAGAAGGCTCCAGTTTCCCCAGTGCCATTCCCCACTGTGAACAGTCAGGAACGGTACATGGGCACCTGCACCAGCCTGTGTTCCCGCTGGCTTCACTGGGAGAACATGCTCCGAGCATCCCGTGTATTTATCGCAGTTTGGCTTTCCGAGATACTTAAGGCAACGTAAATGATTTCAAGTCAACTCCACCCACCTTATAAGAGCAAGTAAATTGTCAAGAAGCTTCAGAACCTGCTCAGTGCAGGGATTACGGTAGATGGGAGCTCCGCTGGGCATGTATCCCAGCAAGAATCCTCCAGCTTTCGCCTCTTCAATAGTAGCGGGCCAACGTGCTCGTTTCACAACTCCCAGAATGGTGTACACACAAAAGCTTATCTGCAGCAAGAGATGCAGAGAGACTTCTTAGCCAGAGCACAACCCCAGTAAGACAGCTTTCAGAGTAACCATCAGCACCCTGTCTCAAAGGGAACGCTCTACAGCGAGCCTAACCTGGCCATCGGGACAAATGATGTGGGTTTGCTGCCAAGAAAATGCAGCAAGCGATCACGCTGTGTTCCATCATCTTTAGTGACCCTTGCCCATGGCAGAAAGGCCCAGGAACTGGCAATCAAACAAAGCACTGATGCATACAGTCTCCTGAGATGCAAGCAACCAGGCAGGCTGCCCTCTAATAGGAAGGGTCTACATCAGTTCCTCATCTCCTTCATGTACTGGGACAGAGGCAGAGATCTGTGAGGATACAGCCGTCAAACTGCATTAGCCTCACATCACAAGCACAGCTCTATAGAGTGCATTTCAGTGTCTTCCTTCTACAGACTTGAAGATAGCAACTCCATTTGCAGTCTGTCCAAGAAGTGATGACATTTCACTTTATGAAATCATGAAACACCACATTGTGAGTGAAGACTCACACAGAAATTTTCTTGGATTAATTTTATTTATATTCCATTGCAGTCTCAGCATGACACTTTCCACACTGCCTGGCTCAAGAAGCATAATGCACTGCACCATTTTTCCAAAAATCATTTAAACCAATTGCTTCTCCAAGACCAAACTCTGCTACCCAGAGTAGGGAATAGTGTGCTTCACTCTGCTGAATAATCTGGTTTTGCTCAGCCTACAACCTCATTACTATACTTTAAAGGGGCAAAAGCCAGCCTCTGACTCTTCAGTCTTAAAAACCTACTGATCTGCACCCTGAAGAAGTAGGTAAGCAGGAGATCTTGTGTGTAACCACAACAGAAATGTGGGATGGAAGGAGGCAAGTCCCATCTCACTGAGGATTACACCCCTCCTGGAAATGGTACTCACCCTAGAGCGGTTCAGGCCACTAGGATCTTCCAAGACTGGATCTGCAATTTTGTTGTCTGCACCCACATAGGAGATAAAGGCTTCAGGATCTGAGAGGACTCTGGCAGCAGCAAAAGACAGCAAAGGGAATTATTATTTATCCCAGGGAATTTAAGTAGAACTTTGCACTGGCAATAAGCATCTTAACAAATACAAAGCAGGCTAGAGAGACTACCTACTGCTCCACTCTGTGTATGGGAACATGATAAAAAGCACGAGAGACGTGTGGATTCCCCAAATATCCCCAGGCCTCTTGGGCCATGGGGACCTAAAACCTTTGAATCACTTATGAAGACAGCCCTGCTGGGAAAACCCTTGTGCATGGCCAGCTGCCCAGGGCTGCAGGACACCTCAGCTCTAGTAAGGAGAGCTCAGCCTCCTAGCTTCTCCTGGAGATGAGCGAAGAATTCCTTTTATTCATCATTTTCTGCAAATGCTCTGAGCGTGCCAGGAAGCATTTCTCTGTCACCTCATACAACACCCACCCAGCAATTTTCAATGAACAGCATTTAGACTCAGTTGGCAGTTTCTCAACTGCAGCAGAGCTGTTACCACAGTGTCCACCCAAGAGGTCACAAGGCACCCCACCACCCTCACGTGGCCTGTGCATTCCCTTATCAGGCACATTACCTCTGCCACACCTCCAGCTCATGGCTCAGCCAAGTGCCCCATACCTCTGCATCTCTGGGGAGAGCCACAGGCCAGCAACGGGAGCCATGAGCTCCTCCAGGAAAGCTTTCTGCCGCTCGTAGTCCTTGAACTGGTTGCTGGTGAGGACGAGGGCCTCCATAAGAGCACACTTCTCCATCTGCGTCAGAAGTAGCTCGTTGGAGAGCAGCTGCTTCACGTGGTTGTACAACATCTCAAAGTTTGGCTAGAAAACACATCCAAGTGGAAAAGCATCAAGCATTTGGCGTGACACGTGGTCCAAGTTCTCTTTTCTCTACATAGCCACCTCCTCTTCAGTCTCAAGTTTGAATGCTCAGTCAAAAAGAACCTTTTTCCTTCCCTCTGTCATCATCCTATATCCAGCTTGCGTTAGTTTCTTCCCCACCCACTCTAGTCACAACCATGTCTAGAAGCATTAGGAATCGTGTCCTTCAGCAAAGTCATCTGAACATATCTGGGGGCAGCTCTGAGCCCTTGGCTCTTCCAGTGAGGATGTTTGGCTGGCCATGGGAAAGAGCAACCTGTAGTTCAAGGACCAGCAGAAGGAGACAAAGACAAACCTGCTAGTTCTTAGCAACTATTCTTATCAGAATGCAGATGGAAACCCCTAAACTATCTTCATTAGCATCCTCAAAATGTCTTTGTTTAAACTAGCAATGTCCTGTGGTGCTCCCATAAACCCCAGGGCCACTCCACATGAACACTGCTAAAGAAAGGTGTTCAGAGCTAGCATGTTGCATGCAGGCTCTTCAGTTTGGTAAAATCAAACAAAACACGGACTTAAATGTGTTTATTTGTGTTCTGCATTGCCCTGAGGGGACTAGAAAACTCTCCCCTTGCTCCTACACTCTATTACGAAACAGACGAGAGCTTGGAGATGAGTTGCTGCTAGACTCTCCAGTTAAGGAATCAACTGAGACCACCACAAGTGACAAAATGGAAATTCAGCAAACATTCCCATAAAATGAAATCCAGTGCTGCTTGTATCCTCCTAATCATCCTTTCTGCATTTAACTCATCATCTTTTCATTTAACTCATCCATTTACATTTCAGCTCTTCATGCTGAAAAGTTTTTTAGGGGCACAGAGAAGAGGTAAGAAGGGAGTTGCAGGGAATAAAACACTTTGTCATTTGTGCAGCAGTAATATTTCTTGGAAGAAAAATGGAGGCTGTAGCCAAGGAAGCTGAAGATCCCACAAAATCCAGCTGAAATTGAGGCAAGGCTCTTCACAATGGAATTGAGTGTACGTACCAGGACAAGCTGAGGGTAGTCCCGACACATCTTTATGATAGAGGAGCATGCATGCCTTCTCACATTCTTCACTGCCCGAGTTCTAGGAGCCTGGACAGACACAACAAACTTCAATGCAACAAAACAGAAGTTCAGACAAATGTAGGGTATCTTCAAGAGACAAATGCATTACATACAGTTTTCTGCACCATTTGAGTACAGATCAAAAAAGCATTCCCACAACCCCCACCCCAAACAATCATGCAACAACTAGATTTCCCCTGGAGCAGAGGCCAACTCAAGAAGCCCATGTTTGAAGAAGCTGTACTGCAGCAGCAAGGATGCTATGGGTCTTCCTCACTATTTCAAGACTCCAAGCTAGGATCTTCCTCCCTAGGTAGCTGGCAGCTTTACAGCCACCCTTCACAGCCACATATCCCAACCACTGAAGAATACCCACAGCTAAGGAAAGGATTTCACTCCCAGGAAGGCCAGCACAGACCACGGGACTAAGGGCACTGGCCTTCTAAGTTTGTGAACCAAAGTTTATTGGGCGATGTCAGCCAAGAAAAGTTAAGTTATATTAAGACTTCTCAGCCCTTTCCAGGAGCACAACTATACTTGAGAAAACTACTACAGCAGAATCTTTGGACTCTACATGCTCTCAAATAGAATAGGATTTGATACAACGGTTACAGCTAATAAGTAGAAAACAATTCAGACATACCTTACTTTCTTCTACAACTTCGAAGGTAACTGAAGCAAACAGCTGTGAGAAAAGGGAGGAAAAATCAAAAAACTCAGATCATTTGTTAATATCTATCACTCAAGTAACTTTGAACTCAAGGAATAGATCGCAAGACTTCAGTACAATTTCATTAATGCCAATGAAGAACCACCAACTAAGTGAAAAGATCAATCACCAGCACAGCAAGGCCTTGAAATAAAAAATGGCTAGAGCATGCACTTAATGTTAAGGTTTAAGGCTAGGAACTGCAAAATTTGTGTTATTTAATGTTGTTTTTTCTTGAAAAAGCCTTGGTCTCAGTCTCGGTTTTTCCCATCTTTAACAGAAAGGACAGTTCTTCCCTGATAGTAATGCCAAGAGGATTAACTCTGGCAGTTTAGTACACGGGCCTTACACCACAAAGAGCTTACCTGATTTTAGCATGGTCTGCAAGTACCTACCTTGGAAAGTACTTGTGGTAGGTATTCTGGTCGATAGGTGACAAATGGAAAGAGAGCAGAGACATTGGTGAGCACACAGGACAAGATGAGAGGATCCTTTGTTTCAAAATTAAGGACAAGCTGCAACAGATCTATGCCATCATTCACTGGGATTTCCTACAAAGGCAGCAAAGGGAAAGAAGGAAAGGAAAAAAGGAGGCATCACTCAGTGCTTCAGCCTGTAGCAGACTTCCTACAACTGCCAGAGCTAGGCCACAGAGCTACTGTGATCCCACCAGACCTCTCAGCTGAGCACAGGTGTTCTCAAACCAGAAAAAGATGCAGTAGAAACTTCAGGTTAGCTGTGTGCTGTGCACCTCCTGAGGGAAAAAGGACAGTCCTGTTGCTGTTGTTGGTAGGGAAGTCTTGAGATGTCAATCTCAAGTCCACATACTATTGCTTGCATCTCCAGGAAAGGCAAATTCCTTTTCCCTGTTTGGCTCCCAGTTCTTTTGACTCTGTCTAACAGACTCCACACTTGAATCAAGTTAATCTTACTGTGATTAGTATGATGAACGGAAGTGCCTGAGCAGCCTAATCTAATAAAAACATCAAGTCAGTCTACATCAGAGAAAAAAATGCTTTCCATCTGATTTGCCTGCTGTTGAACGAAAAGCAGAGAGAAACTGCGTGTGATCTACTCCCCGAGTGTGAGTTTTGCTCATTCAGTTCAAAGATAAACAAAAAAACCAAAACCAAACAACCAAACTCAAACTAAAAAAAAAATCCCAAAATCTAATCAGGGGATAATGAAAAAGAATAAACTTAGGAAATTTCCACTTAAGCAGTCAGTCCTCTTCTCCTCTAGTAAGAGGGTATGCCGAAGCATGTCACCTGAGCACTCTCCTGTGACTTCTCATGACAGTGTCCAGAATCAAGACATGTCTGAAAGCCACCGTGAGCCTGATCCCATCTAAAGAAGGGTCACTACTCCTCATGAGAGTCACTCGCCAAACAATCTGGGGTTTGCATGGATGTAACTGTTATTACAAACTTTTCAAAGACAACATAGCTGAAAAACCCCACTCATGTCAACCCAGCACAAGCCAGGAAAGAGCATCTGATACACATACGTCTTTGTCCATGGTTCGAAACATCTGGCTGATGACGCTCTCTGAGAAGGTGGTCATGGCATCCCACTGCACAAAGGATGGGGAGAAGATGGAGCAGAGACCTTCACCTGTCTTAGCTGAAAGGAAGAGAAGAACACACGTACTCCTCCCTGCGTGCACAAGAGCAGGCCAATAAGCTGCACTACAGCACCTGAGCTCTCACAAGGATTTTGCTCACACAGCTCTCCCTGCAGATGCCTGGCAGGGATGCACCAGGAGCAACCAAGGCACACCCGTGTGATTTGCCTCATTCACGTGAAGGCTCCCAAGACATAAGTCTGACCTTTGAGATACTACAGGGAGCAATGCCAACAAATCACAGTAAAGGAAAGAAAAGGAGGGAGACCAGAAGCCCAGACTGAGCAGTGCTGACTTGGTGGGACTTTGCAGAGCACCAAGTGGCCTTCCTTCACAGGAGGAAAGCCAGGTGACTGACAGAGGGATTCGTCAGACAGGCAGAACTTCCCTGGACAAAAATAATCAATATTTTACAGAGAAAACAAGGCTCAAATAATTGTAAAATCATATTGGAGGCACAGCTGCATCTGTTTTGCAGAGAGGTTTTGGGGAAGGAAAGGAGGAGCCAGAGGCTTTGCATTAGCTGTTCCACAGGTAGGCTGCAAAGGGTTAAATTTGGGGTGGGTTTGGTTTGATTTTGCTTTCAACTTGCAAGGGCCTTAAAAGGCTGAAAAACTAGTGTTGAGTCTTGGCTCCCCCTTAAAAAAAGAAAAAAAAAAAAAAAAAAAAAAAAAAAAAAAGGGAAAGAAGTTTCTTCTTGCCTTGAATTAAAAGAACCCAAATCCCATATGCCAATTTTTTTTTTTCCCCCCAGGTAACTTACAGTTCATGGGTCCAGCATCAAGAGGAGCTGTGAGCTGGTACTTCAGCCATTCACCAGCCATTTGGAAACCAGTCCGAGGGTCTAGACGACACGCCATCCTCATCACCTCTCCTTGCTGGGCTCGGAAGGCTGCAGTGGAAAATCAGACGCCATGCAACAAGCTGATGCTGCAAATGCTCCTTTCCCCAAAGCTCCCCGGCAGCTTTGCAGACCTGGAGCATTAGGGGCTGTTGCTCTTAAAAATCACTCACTCGAAAATCTTTAAACATAAATAGTTAGAAATTAAGCATATCCTCCCAGCCACCAAGTGAGTACCAAACTATACAGGCCAGTGAGAATCAACCTGTTTTGAGAAGTAAAATACAACAAGAAAAAAAAACCCAATTACTAACATCCCAAGTTTCCCATTTGTTGGTATAAAGTCATAATTAAATTTGGCTACTTTAATTGCTCAACTCTAGCTATTGGTACTAAACCAGAAGCTTCTTAGCAAGGCCAAGAGAGATTTTCTTTCTGGAATGAAAGTCAAAGTCTTTTGTAAGTTCTCTTCTTTTCCAAACCTGAGGAGGACTCCAGGCCATTTTGTTTCCTCCTCTAGGGTCCAAGAGGCACATTTTCTTTGACACTAAGTAGCAAATGCTAGTAGCCCACCTACCTGACCGGCAAGCAAAACATAGCAGAGAGTAAGTAAAATGAAACACCTGAGCTGCCACAGGAAAATCATAAATTAATGCAAAGCTCCAGGCTGAAAGAGTCAAGGCACATGTGGAAGCTGCCAAGCCAACATGGTAGGCTCCAAGCTCAGCCAGCAGCTGAAAGTAAGAGGAAAGGCACAGACAACAGCATCCACACAGGGGGATGGCAACTTACAGTTGAAGAAAGCATTGAAGTCCTCGTCACTGTCAAAATCAAAGCGGGAGTATTCACAACTGGGGCTGTCTGTCTTAGAAGGAAAGCCCACCTGAAGACAAAAGAGACAAGGTCAGGATGGAACAGAAGTCACCCATCACAGCTAACAACACCAGCTTCACGAAGACTGAAGACAAGGAGTAAACAGTCAAATGTTGAGACAGAGCTGTCTGCTCAGCAGCCTGGAGACCACATCTCTGGCAGACAATAAAAACTGTGGCTCCTCCTGCACAATCCACAGGCCACGTTCACTTTGGCACCTTTTCATACCTATCTGGCTGCAGTCCTCACATACCTTCACTAGGTTGGTCATAGATGCACGGAGATACTTGGGAATCATAGCCAGCAGCAAGGGGTCGTGAGACAGGACTTCGTGCCGAAAGAGGGCTCCCCAAGTGATCTGGGTGGAAGATCGCAGAAACTGGGGGGAGAAGAGAGAGAAGTGGGGAACAGAGAAGGATTTCAGTGCTGGGATCTCCACTGCTGATGTTAAATGTTGCTATCAGAAGGTAAGAGAAACTACACTGCCTATTTGGTTGAGACCATGGCACCTTGCAGGCACAACCCAAACTTCCAGAACGCCAGAGGTTTCTAAGTAAATACTAGGGCTGATTGCAAATTCTGCACTTTCTACTCAGCATCTCTGTGTCAGACACTGTTGCTAAAGGGGTGGTAATGGAGGGGAAACTAGTCTGCCTTCCAGATCTTCAGCTGAAATGGAGGGCCTGGGGAGAGTATTTGGCAGCTGAAGTTCTGCAGTCCTCTGTAGGTTAGCTCCATTACATACTCACATGTCCTTCCACTGAGCTGCATGAGACTTTCTGCCCTTTACATACCTGGCTGGGATGGGTTGTAAAGGCTAAAAACGCTTCAAGGTATTTTCCAAAGTTGGCTGGTGTTTCCACATCAGAATCTGAGCCCTATTAGGAAGACAAACAATTTCAGACAATATACTAACTCTAAGTGACGCTGGGCTCACAAGTGCTATGTCTCTGGGTAACACAAAGGTGACTACATCCAAGGCCACAGTCGGTAAAGGAAGAGGGGAAAAAAACATGGAACAACTCTGTTTTTTTCTGAAACCAGTAGAGCTTGAAGAGTATCAAGTTCTGCTGACCAGCCTAGGGTTGCTGGAGACAGCACCACCCTCATTCAAGAGAAAAAGGTCACTTCTCATGATACTGGAGTTCTGTTAAAACCAAATTCATAACTACTGCTGCTACCATGAGTCACAATATTACTATGATTGGGTTGAGCCCAAGCAGCAGTACTGAAGCACAGCAATTCACAACAGCAGAATTTCCCAAGCAAATACACCCAGATGATTTCACTCCCATTCCTTAAAATGTTTCTCCATTTAACATATGGACATCTCTTGCCAATAACTTTCTAGGATGTTTGTCAAGAAACTAAGTTTTACACAATTCCCAAGTTTTTCTGTTCCTCACTAACCATAATATGACCTGATGTCCTCAAGATCCCTCTCCTGGAGCTGCACAGCTCCATGCTGCTTCTCCCAAGTGAATCAGGATGAGAGGACTCAAATCCTTGTCACATCACTTCATTACAGACTAACACCTCCCACCACCTAAGAGCAAGTGCAGTCCCTGAAAGTAGTAACACACCCTTTGTTTGCTGTCCATTCTTTTTAGGGATAAACTCTCCAAGGGCTGGCTGCCTCGGCCTCCCCACAAAGAGGATCTCTCAGCAAGCCTGCCTTCTTTACTCCAGAAGCACTGTGCTGATCAGAGGGAGCACGAATTCAGCAACCAGCAAAGCATGCAAAGTATCAATGTGCATCTTCATCTCAACACTGACACAAAGCATCGGAAAGATGAACAGCAGGAACAAAATCCATTTCTTCCTTCAGCTTGAGAGACTCTTGGCAGTAAAACAGACTCTTTGGAGTTATTTTTAATATGGAAATTTAAAAGGCTTTCAACACAAAGTAATTTCCTGGAGTATTTTTTCTGTAATAGCAGAGAGCAAGAAACTTGACCAATTTTTAGTGAAAGCTTCTGCATTTTGCAGTGGTTATAGGAGATGATTCTTGACAACAGCAAAGGCCTGGAATCAGTCCGGGTCCCTCCATTCTACATTCCTATGACTTGGCAGCATACAGTTATCCCATTTGCAAGCACAGACACTTCCACCTCTTCCAAAGGTGTGGAGACAGAACCCTATGGCTACCCAAATGTGCAAGCAGAACCCTGGTCCTACCTTAGATCAGAGCTGCTTCACCCTCAGCTCTAGAAACTAGCCCTGCCAGGGTGGCTGTTGGTATCAGCAGAAACTTACTAGCAATGCACACAGCTGGCTGCCCAACGCACACAGAACTTGGCAAAGTCTCTTCAAGAAAACATAGTGCTTCTCCACCAGACCTTCTCCATCTGCTGTCCTGGGAGCGAAGGGGGGAGGAAAACCAGACCACAGTTACTCATGCTGTGTAGGCAACAGGCACACTGTTATCTATCTTGTAGATAAAAAGAGCACTGGAGCAATAGGATTTTATTGCAGTGGGATTTTCTTTGCTATTATCAAGAAGTACTGCTTTATTGGCATCTAAAACCTCTGAAATTGCCTCTCTGAAAGAGTCCCTCCTGACCAGTTTCAGGCTAAAAGGGAAAGCTGTGATATTTACATCGCAAACTCGCAGTTTTTCAGGTTTTGCAAAAGAAATGATCTGTTTGTGCTCTCTTAACCCAGTCAGTCCCAACTTTGTGCAGTTAAGCAGCAATGCCTTTTTGCAAATCACATCTACGAAGCCATTTGTATGCAGTTTTTTTATGAAATTAAAACAGCGGGATGGTACTTACTGGGCAGCAGAGAGAATGTAGTGCATGGCAACGTCTCCAAACAAGACCATCAGAGGCTTCCGATCCTCCAGCTTACCCTATGTGTAAAATACACCAAATGCCTCAATTAGAACAGAACTATTTATTCCCATCTGCAACTGAAATTAGGAGATCCTTATAATCTTGGGGAGGAGCTTACAGTCTGCAAATTATTTCAGTAAAAACTTCCTGAAAAAACTAAGGTATTCCTGATCTCGAAAAACTTCCCCAAGCAATCCCACCACAGGGATTTTAAACTGAAATATTGATCCTGAGACATTAACTCTTCTTCACAGCAATCCAGCTAGTTACTTAAAGGCAGCCAATAAACATTCAGCCTTGACACTAAGATGCCTGTGAAAGTATGGATCAAATCAAACGTTTAGACCATGCTGCCACTTCTCTGAGCTGCTTCTGACAGTATGTCCCACTTTGCAGTGGTAGGAAATAGGGGGAAAAAAAAAAGTCAGTGGGGATCTCCAGCTTCAGAATTGTGAGGAAAGGTGAGCACAGAAGTTGGAGAGGATTCCAACATTTGTTGTATGTATTGTGCTGGCATGATACTCATGCTAAATATCACTAACATAAGCAGCCAGATTTGACTTTAGTTTCTTAAATAAACGAGCGAAGATATCATTGCTTGAGCTGAAGAATTATTTAAGAGAATAGGAGAAAAACAAAGAGGAGCCAGAAGAGGAAAGAAGAAATCACCTACCTGCTGACTGCAATGAGGAGACACTCTGCTGCTCCTATTTGGAGCTCAGGCTCATTTAGAAGCAGACACAACATCTCCAAGAGCTTGCAGTTGTCTGCTGTGATATGGCTCAGGGCCACCCAGTCAATGTAGCCGGCCAAAGTGTTGAGTGCTGCTATCCCCACACGGCAGTTTGCCTGGGCCTGTGAACACAGAGGAGGCAAGAGGTCAGAGCCAGAGACAAACATCAATTCCCATCTAAAGCCCTCCACTATCCAGAACAACAGTACCAGGAACTACCCCAAGAGAATGAAAGGGCCTTCTGCTGCAGTCCCTCACTTCTCTCTTCTCAAATGCCTGTATTATGGGTGAACAAATCCACCTGTAAATGAGAACTGCAAGTACTAGATTCCAAAGCCTGGAAAAAGCCTAGTTCTAAGTGGTCTTGGTGTTAAGAATGACTAGTGCACTAACTCCCGCACATCTCCACTCACCTTTGGCTCCTGAGCCAGATCAGTCTTCTGAAAAAGAAAACAAGAGATAGTAAGTGAGCAGCTACAGCACACGCTTCTACCCAGCCACTGCCAGACAGGCTTATTCTCGAGAAGGGAACCAGAAGCAATTTCACAGAACAGCTCCCTAGTGAAGAGGCTGCAACCCAGCCACCCGCTCAGGACATGGCTGCAGCCATCACAACCGGCCTCGGCAGCCCCCCGGCAGGTCAGACAACAGCACTTTGAACTGCAAGTTCAGCCTCAGTTTCCTTCTCATCCAAAAGACGACACTCCAGTCAGCAGGCATCAGGGAGAAACAGGGGACAAGAAGGAAAAGCATTTCCATGCTTCTCGGAAGCTTCCAGGGAAGAAACTTTTGACCCTTTAGAGCATTTACATCCAAAAGCCAGACTCTGAAAGATGCCGGTGGCTTTGATGTATCCAGATTGATGTCTGAAAAGGGTACATGACTGTCCACGGTCGGAAAGGCAGCTGGAGAGAGCTGGGGCAAGAGCTTACAGCTGGCTCCCAGTCCCAAACACGCCACAGCCACAATGCTCGGCTTGCGCCACCGCTTTGACTGATGCAGACAAGGCCCCGAGACACCCAGGTTGGATTAGTTTTTCAGAGGCAAAGACATCACCAGCCTTTCTCTCCACTGAAAGGTTTTGGTTTGGAAACTCTGTCCATCAATGTTCAGTGCTGTGATTAGTTAGCCTGTTTGTCCCCCAAATATGTACAAACTGAGCCACCATACTAGAACTGCATACTTCTCAGCACAGCAGATTATTATGGTCTTGGGGAACCATCCATCATTCCCCCAGTCTCAGTGTGCAGACAGGTAATCTCAACACCCAACCCTCAGAAATTACCCTGTGCACAAACATCCCAAAGATCTGCTAACCTGTGGAGTGGTGAGGGCTTCTTGTTCCTGGGGTGCTCCAACCTTGCCAATCAGAAAGATTCCACCGTTAGCAGAAGCAGCCACACTTCAGAGCCTCAAGCATTGCAATTCAAACCTTACCTGGAAATGCATTTCAACCAGACTACAAAACGCACCAGGGTCTCCCACCCACCACCATGAACTGCACAGAAACTCTGCACTACAGGTGGGGTTGTTCAGCCTGTCAGCACATCAGGAAAATGAACAGAAGTCAGGTAGGGGAGGGTTTTTCATCACCTCCCAGTTTCACACTTAGTGTAACTCTGCATTTTAAATCACAGAAAACAAGAACAAGAGAAACACTTAAGGAACTTATTTCTAGGTTGGTTTCTGAGTTATGCTTCATTCTCAAATCCGCTTCTTTCTGACAGGAACAGACTGGGGTAGAGACTTCCTGTAACCATCCATCTTGACCAACCTGCATATCTCTGACTCAAGGCATGAATTCAGGAAAAGAAGACTTTACACAAAAAAGGAAGAGTGTTCCTCACCACAACTTGACAAAAAAGGGCTTCCTGACCTGAGCTCTCAGACAAAAGGACCAGAGAGGCCCAGATGCAATGCTGAGACATCAAAAACTCCTGTGTTTTGGTGCATAACCACAAAGACACCACTGCAGCATAAGAGAGCAGATGCGAGCCCAGGATGACATCTCTTTATCAACTGTGTCCTATGTAAACTACCCCAAATCTACCTGGTTTTGCCACAACCAAACCTTTTGCTCAGCTGTACACCCCAAGTGTCAGCAGAGCTTTCCAACAGCACGGATGAGGCACGTATCCACTCAAGCCATTTACACTAGCAAACCCAAACTACCAACACTAACACTGCCAACCTTCTGTGTTTAGTCTCTTTCACCATCACCGGCTTCCGAGGCCACAGCAGATCCTTACGTCACAGCAAGATTTCAGACAGTTTCTGCCTTTGCTTCCCCAACTCCTTCTGAGTTGTTTCCCAGTTCCTGAACACCTCCAGCACTGACGGAAGCCGAGGGAAGGAGACTCTTACCATGCGTCTGTACTTGTTGACGTTCTGCTGCAGGGCATTCAGCAAGAAGCTGAAGATCTTCTCCATGTTCTGGGTGAGGGTTTGCTGGATATCTCGTCGCCGCTGGGTAGGCAGCGTCTGAAAAGTCACCACGTCCTCTGCCAAACGTAGGAGGATGAACATCACCAGCTCTGTCTGGGTTTCCTGAAATCCCAAAGTTAAACACACTTCATCAGCTCAGTTCAAACGTTACAATATCTATAGAGGCTAGCTTCAAGACAGATATAGAGAAAAAGTGAGTTCCCATGAAGGAACAAGTCACACCTTGGGAAAACAAGGCAGGAGGATGGGTCTCTCTCTGCTAAAAGCATTTTCTAGAATGACTTAGTCTGACAGGGATTTTTGAGTCCATCATCAGCCTGTCTCACCTGACCATGAGTGAGCTAGGCTTTCCTCAGGATGACAGAAGACTGAAACTCATAGTATATGAGCAAGCAGAAGAGAAGAAACAGGTGTGCTTCATACCCCTTGCTTGGAGAGGGTATCCAGCTCTTTTAGCATGTCAGGCCAGTGCTGAGGCCACTCACGCTTGATCATCTCCACCACGATGCGAGACAGGACATCCTTAATGTGACTTTCCTCCTCCAGAATACTTTGAGTTCCCTGTGATAGAAGAGGGGCAGAATTATACAAAACAGCAAACGTCAGACATTTATAATTCTGACCTGGGAAGCACAGTGGTTGCAAATGCTCTGAACTACACAAAATAAAAACAACAAAACAAAGCACAACACAACACTGGGCAGCTCTTTATAAAAACAACAAAACAAAGCACAACACTGGGCAGCTCTTCGTGCCAGCTACCTTGGATGACTTTCCTACCCTTCTAAGTACCTATAGCTAGTGAACTCCAGGAACTGCAAGGATTTCACTCAAAAAAAGGTGACTTGGTCACAAAAGCAATTGCAACTGAGGAAACATGACTAAGATAATTCTTCTAGTATTCTTGTGAAGGATAACTACATGCAGATATACTGAATTTCTTTGTAAGAAAAGATGAAACACCTTATATATGTGAAGTGCTGGGGTTAAATCCCCAGCCCTGAATGAGGGTTGGCATATGGGTGATGTCCACAACCAGGCAAGAAAGATTAGTTTTCGGGCAGGGTCTGGCCAGCCGTGGGTGGGAACCAATTAGGAGATCACCACCAGGTGCCCCCACCTTCCACATTAACTTGGAGGTGGGGCAAGAAGCCATCCCTATAAAAGCTGACTCTGCTTGCTACAAGGCCTGCTTAGAGAGTGCTTGTGCTGTGTGGGGATCCTGGCTATTGGAAGGGCTCCCTGAATCTTCACAGTAAGTAGAGTTCCCAGTAATGGTGGGACAAGATTGAAACAGCAAGAGAATTATGAGGCTTTCTCCTGGCAATTACTATATCACTGGGATTAGACTGATTGCCTGGGTCCTTCCTTCCCCCATGGTGTGGTTTTGGAATCGGCTCACTCCTTTCTTTGCTATGTTATGTGTTGTGAGTGAATATGCTGGTTTACTCATTCCTCCAGTGGCAGGGTGCCTTGGATCTCTTGCATATGCTCTAAGACCAGAGGGAGGGATCTGGCTCATGCGTTGCCCATTAATGATAATACCCTTCCTAGCTGGGCAAGCAGTCAGCAAAAGAATATGTTATACCAGCCTCACAGATTCCTGCCATGTGAGACAACATGGTTATTGACCTGACTACAAGACAGAGAAAAGCACTGGAACAACCAGGGATGCCCAGCAACAATGTAATGAAATGTAGAATTTAATTCAGGTCTTGCATGCTAGTTAACTGGAGCCTTTTTTTCCTTTTGCTTCTACTATCTCCAAGTTAGAGAATCATGTTTCAGAGAATGATCTGGGGGAGCAGGTACTTACACTGGATATAAGGCCCATGACATTGTTCTTTAGATAAACTTTTTCCAGACGAGGCATACTGTTCCAGCGGAACCTGTTTGAAAGAGTTAGAAAACAAAACAAAAAGGATGCCAAGTCAAAATGTTTACAAAGATCTCTAACTTGATTCTCAGTGACCCATCACTTCCATACCTAAACTAGGGAGAGAGACTACAGCTCAGTGACTCTGCCTGTGCCAAATCCCTTAATGAAAAGGCCAAGTTAATACTGCTGCTGGCAAATGGGTGTGCACCACTGAGGTCAACAGACAAAGCATCAGGTCTGTAGAGGCGGCGGAGAGAAGAATCTCAGAACTGAACTAATACAAAGCCTCTTTGTTAGCACGAGGCTAATAACAGAGAACACTGTGGAGACTTACTAACAACCCTGCTTGTTTACAGCTGCTAAGATCAATGTTTCTTGGAGCTCAGTGAAGTAACCTTTTGAACCTGCCCAAGAGCTGCTTTCTCTTTTCCTTCTTTTCAAGAAGGAAAAAAAACCAGAGAAGATAGCACCTGTCCCCTGCTGCAGAACGCTGTGCCCTTAAAGTGCCTCCCTGAAGTGGGAGGTGGTGGAACAGGCCGGGGACAGAGCCCACACTAGCGGCTGTGTGGTGCGTGGCCGAGCTGTCTTACTTGACCACATGCTCCAGGATCTGCAGGCCGAAGTGCCGGACGATGGCCGTCTGCGTCTTCTCCGCCAGCTTCAGCCCGCAGGGCACGCAGATGGGACACTTCTCCTTGAACTCCTCGCAGAACTGGGAAAGGACCGGGGACACGCACACGCGGTTAAAACACGGGGGCGGACACCAGGCGGGCAAGGAGCGGCCGGTACGTGCAGGGGAACAGCCCCA